TCAGTATTCTGCCATGGGCTCTATCAGCCGCTGAATGGGGTCAAATCCAGCACCCGGCAGAGGCCTGGTATTAGAATATCCTGCAGCTTTTCTGCAGACTGAACACTTGGGGAGTGGCGTGGCTGAGGGTGACACTGCACCCTGCAGCCATCAGGAGGGCCTCTCGCTCAAGGAGCGGATGCAGAGCCCCCTCCATGAAGCTTCACAAACCCCTCCACCCCATGGCTCTACAAGTTTCCGATCCCTGCTGGCCTGATGCTGCACTCGGCCCATGGTCTTCCAGACCGGACTCGTGACTCACCTCTCCTTGGTTCCGACCTTCTCAGACCTCTCTGAGCCCCCAGGACACTTGGCTCCTGGGGCTGACCCCTGCTCGGGACCCTCCCCAGTGGCTGGTCTCAGCGCCCGTCTGCATTTGTGCTTGGGACTCTGCCCTTGAGTCGGCCTCCGCTTGTAGTGCTCTTGGCCTGCTGTGTGTGGTACCGTCTTCTCCAGGAGAACACAGCCTCTTTAGTGACCCTGGTCACTAAAGTCACTTGGTCACTCATCAGTGACACTGGTACTCTGTAAATGCTTACCAAGTAGGGGCCATGAGGTTAAAATGGGCATGAGCTTCACTTGGTCCAAACTTCCCACTTGACAGATGAAGTGACTGAGGACCAGGCAAGAAAAGCAACTTGCCTGTAACAGTCTGTGAGACCTGACTCTCTTGGGTCTCAGGCCAGTGTCTGCCCACCTGCCCCTGCCGCCTGGGGAACTGACTCAGTGAATGAGTCCCCTCAGAACCAGTTGCATGAAAGATCAAATAAAAATTCTCAGACTTTACTGTACATGTCACAAAGGGCCATTTTGAGAAAGACTCAATAAGGAAACACTTGTGTATTATTCAGGATTCTTTTAGTTGCACGTAACAGAATCCCCACTCAAAATAGTTTATGCACAAGGACTCTATTGCCTCCTGTTCGAGGCAGTCCAGGGAGGTACTGATCTAGAGGTGTCAGGGTGGTGCCAATCTGGATGGACGGAGGCGCTGCTTGAGCCTGAGGACCTGATCTTCTAATGCAGCTCCTCTGAGGGAAAGGGGTGGGGGTTCCTGGCAGGGGGATGGGCACTACTGTGTGACTTGAAGAGGGAGGCTTGAAAAGGGGAGCAAATGCCCAGTTCCTGAGTCTGGAAGGAGCCCTCAGTGTAAAGGCCTGAGTCATGAAGTTGTGAGCATCTTTTCGATTTGTAACATTGTGAAGCATTGATATTTCTTACATATGGAAGAGCATTAAAGAATAACAATAAAGCAAATACTGTGGAGCCACCACTGGAGATGGGAAAATGAACTGCCAGGTCTGTTACCAACCCAGTGCACCAACTGTACAGCCCAACTGCACACAATTCCTTTCCAATCCCTCTCAATTTTGAGTTTATTACTCTGTTTCCCACTTTGGAATGTAGCCTTATGCAAGACAATATTTAGCGTTGCTGACCATTTTGTAAATGGAATCATTGTTCTACTTTCTTTTGCTCCATGTTATGAATTTTGAGATTCCACAAAATTATGTTGATATGTGGAGTTGTGATTAATTTTTTTACTACTCTATAATATCCTATTATATATAAAAATATACCTCGATTTATCTATCCATTCTACAGTGGATTATCTCCATGTGTTTTTCTACCTTAAGCAGTGCTACTGTGAATATTCGTGTGGCCTGAGGAACAACTTCCAGAGTTTCTTAAGAAGTAGGTTGTGGGATACATGAGTGGGAGTGTTCAGCTTTACAAGATGATGCCAAGACTGTTTCCCAAAGTATGTTCTTCCTGTGTGGTTGTTCCTTCCTGATACTGTCCTCATGCTTCCATTGAGACCATAGTTTAACGCTATGGTCTGATGAGTTAATTTGATGGAGATTAATGAGGGAGGCATTTGGCCCTTGAATGCCTTGGAATGTGAACTTGTTGGGGCCTGTAGTAGCCCCTCAGAGATTCCACATAGGTTCCAGGGAGATCTATACCAAGCAAGAGAGAAGACCATTACAAAGGCCCTGTGACTGGCCAAGATGATAAAAAGGATGGCTGGGGGGCTTGTTGGCTCTAATGTTTGAGAGCTGGGAGAGGTCCTCGCTACCACTAACATTCCAGCATAGCCATACAGAAAGCCCTTCTGCACAGTGAGGAAACTCCTGGCCCCAGGCTCACTAAGCCATAGAAACTTCTGTATTCATCAGTAACAAATAGACCTCTTGACTGGAAAAGTAAAGCTGCAGAAGAGCTCAGCCTTTCTCTTCTCTTTCCTCTAGGATGAAAGAGTTGAACAGAGACCCACGTGCTTTCTAGCACAACTTATCTCAAGCCCCAATACTGGAAAAGTAACATTTATTGACATGACCAATCAGTTCAAAAGAAGGGGACTCTATCAGTAATCTATGGCTGCCTAACAAATTATCCCAAAACTTAGTGGTGTAAAACAATAATAAACACTTATGATCTCTGAAATTTCTGTGAGTTAGCAGTTTGGGAGAGCCACGGAGGGGTGGTTCTGGCCTGGGGACTGTCATGAGGGTGGTCCTCCAACATGTTGATCGGCTGCTATCATCAGAAAACTTGATAGATTGGGAAGATCTTCTTCCAAGGTAGCTCATTCACACAGCTAGCAAGTTGGCACTGGCTGCTGTTGGCAGGACCCCTTATTTCCTTTCCGGGTAGACCTCTCCCCAGGGTTGCTTGAACAGCCTCATGACATGATGGTGGGCTTCCTCCAGAGGGAGAGATCCCAGAGGACCAGGAGGAGATCACATGCCTTTGTAACCTAGCCTTAAAAGTCATGCACAATAATGTCTGCATTGTGGTGAGACACCGTTGGTCTCACAGGTTGCCCTGGTTCACTGTGTGGGGGGAACACAGAAGGGCAGGAATAGCAGGAGGTGGGTCTCTTTGGGAGATGTTTTGAAGGCTGTTTAGAAAGAAGAGGGCTTCCCTGATAGCTCAGCTGGTAAAGAATCCACTTGCAATGCAGGAGACCTGGATTCAACCCCTGGGTCAGGAAGATCCCCTGGAGAAGGAAATGACAACCCACTCCAGTATTCTTGCCTACGAAATCCCATGGACAGAGGAGCCTAGCGAGTTACAGTCCGTGGGGTTGCAAAGAGTCTTTATTATTGTAGCTATTCATAGCTCAGTTGGAAAAGAATCCGCCTGCAATGCAGGAGACCCCAGTTCATTTCCTGGGTCAGGAAGATCCACTGGAGAAGGAATAGGTTACCCACTCCAGTATTCTTGGGCTTCCCTTGTGGCTCAGCTTGTAAGGAATCCACCTGCAGTGTGGGAGACTTGGTTCCGTCCCTGGGTTGGGAAGATCCCCTAGAGAAGGGAAAGTCTACCCACTCTAGTATTCTGGCCTGGAGAATTCCATGGACTGTATAGTCCATGGGGTCACAAAGAGTCAGACACGACTGAGCGACTTTTACTTTCACTTAGAAAAAAGGAAACTGAACAAATATTCCCCTGTGGAGCAGAGCTACCGCAAGAAACAAGAGAAAACAAAATGGAATGAAATAAAATACTTTATCTTTCTTTATAGTTTTTACAAATTTCATTGTACCTGTGAGAAAAGAGTAATTACAATTACAAAAATTTATTTTATATGAAAAAATGCTATTATAAAATTATAAAAGTATGAGAAGTGGATAGCATAATAACAAATACTATTAGAAAGCTAGCTTGAAAATTTCTATTAAATACCAGAGGAGAAGGCTAAAGGGATGAAGGAAATACAGGTGATAGAGCATTTATATAATTGGGAGATGAAGGGAACAAAGAAGAAGGAGAAAAAAGAGATTCATTCATTCATCCATTTGTCATTCATTTAACGTCTATTTATTGAGTCTATCATGAGTCAACAACTAGTGGAGACTTTTTATGCTCATTTAAAATTTCTAGTCAAGACAGATAAAGACAAATACTATATAATCTCACTTATATGAGATTAAAAAAAAAACAAACAAGCCAAATTCATAAGAAATTGATCTGGTTACCAGAGGTGGGGCTGCTGAGTGAGGGGACTGGAAGGAGTTTCAAAGGTACAAATTAACTGTTGTAAGAAAAATAATCTCTGGAGATGTAACATAGAACATGATGACTATAGTTAACACTGCTGTATGGTATATTTGAAAACTGAAAAGAGAGTAGATCTCAAATGTGCTCATCACAAGGAAAAACATTTTCTCTTTCTCTCTTTTTCTGGCAATAATGTGAAATGATGGCTGTTCACTAAACTTACTGTGGTAATTGTCATACAATATATGCTATTCATGTCATTATAATGTACATTTTAAACTTATTGAGTGCTGTATTAATGTAGTGTTAGTGGCTCGGTCATGTCCTACTCTTTTTGCGACCCCATGGACTGTAGCCTGCCAGGCTCCTCTGTCCATGGGATTTACCAGGCAAGACTACTGAAGTGGGTTGCCTTTTTCTTCTCCAGGGGATCTTCCCAACCCAATGATCAAACCTGGGTCTCTTGCATTGCGGGCAGATTTTTTACCATCTGAACCACCAGGGAAGACAATATATGTAAATCAGGTCATTATAATATATATTTTAAACTTACAGAGTGCTGTATGTTAATTATATCTCAATAAAGTTGAACAGAAAAAAAACATTTTTTTTAAGTTCTAAATACATTCTGTAATTTACTATTTCTATAATCAAAGAACTAATAGAAAACTTCTCTGATGTGGAGGGTGTAAGCCATCAGATTTAATGGCTGAAATTAATGTAAAGGGACCCATGTGTATTTGTATCTTTATAAAATCTCAAGTTTCAAAGATAAAGGAAAAATACTTTCATGTTTTTAGGAAAAACAGTTTACCCACATAGAAAAGAATGGACTTGTCCCAGACTTTATTAGGTAACTCTCAGTTCTAGAAGACAATGAATTTTTAGAAGCAACAAATGTGAAGAATTCTTCAAGTAGCTATGATGTCATTCATACATGGGTCAAGAGAAAGACATTCTTAGACATGTAAGGACTCACATCATCTGCCTGAAAAATAATGCCCTCAAAAGTCCACCAATCAACCGAGAAATGAGTCAAAATAAAGAAACCAGGAATGGAAGAGGTGGTACAAAAGAAACAACCGTGAGTAATTAAGCCGGTAAAGAATAGTTAATGTCTAAATCATTGTTTGAAACATGGTTATGAAACCAAATGCAAACGTCAGAAATAATCTTTAAGGGAATTATTCTGACAAAAATTAAAGATGAGGGAAAAGTAAAGAAGGAAGTGCCCTCAATTTCTCATCCAATTTGAATGCAGTTGTAGATATAAATTCTTGAAATTGGTTGAATTTTTTTGCTTTAAATATTTTGTCTTATTCTACAAGAATACAAAGAAGAACTGTACAAAAAAGATCTTCATGACCCAGATAAATACGATGGTGTGATCGCTCACCTAGAGCCAGGCATCCTGGAGTGTGAAGTCAAGTGGGCCTTAGGAAGCATCACTATGAACAAAGCTAGTGGAGGTGATGGAATTCCAGTTGAGCTCTTTCAAATCCTAAAAGATGATGCTGTGAAAGTGCTGCACTCAATATGTCAGCAAATTTGGAAAACTCAGCAGTGGCCACAGGACTGGAAAAGGTCAGTTTTCATTACAAACAAAGGCAATGCCAAAGAATGCTCAAACTACTGCACAATTGCACTCATCNGCTATGGTTTTTCTAGTGGTCATGTATGGATGTGAGAGTTGGACTGTGAAGAAAGCTGAGCACCGAAAAATTGATGCTTTTGAACTGTGGTGTTGGAGAAGACTCTTGAGAATCCCTTGGACTGCAAAGAGATCCAGCCAGTCCATCCTAGAGGAGATCAGTCCTGGGTGTTCATTGGAAGGACTGATGTTGAAGCTGAAACTTCAATACTTTGGCCACCTGATGCAAAAAGCTGACTCATTTGAAAAGATCCTGATGCTGGGAAGGATTGAGGGCAGGAGGAGAAGTGGAAGACAGAGGATGAGATGGTTGGATGGCATCACCGACTCGATCGACATAAGTTTGGGTAGACTCCGGGAGCTGGTGATGTACAGGGAGGCCCCACATGCTGCGGTTCATGGGGTCGCAAACAGTTGGACACGACTGAGCGACTGAACTGAACTGAACTGATAAGTATATAACTTTCAAATTATTACAGAAAAGCAAGCCAAGAAAAATTGATCAGCTAAGCAAAATTCAGAAAAAAGAAAATGGCAAAGAAAAAAAAAGTGCAAAATCATGTTACAAAAATATTACCAAACATAAAAGTTTTGTTCAAATATGAGAGTATGAATTCTACTATTAATAGTTGAAAACTTTTAGATTGTATTGAAAATTAAGGTATTTTGTTCATCAGAAAAATAGGATGTTATGAAAACATGAAAAATAAATGAATATAAAAGTATTATACTCAGGAAATGCAAACAAAAACAGCAGAAGTAGTGATAGTGAAAGTATATGAGGTAAAATCAAGAGAAAATGCCAGTAAGAGAGTGTTAATAGTAATCAAAGTAGGCTTCCCCTGTGGTTCAGTGGTAAAGAATTTGCCTGCCAATGCAGGAGATATGGGTTTGATCCCTGATCCTGGAAGATTTCACATGCCATGGAGCAATAAAGCTCCTGCTCCACAACTATTGAACCAATGCTCTAGAGCCTAGGAGCTGCAGCTGAAGCCTGGGCACCTAGAGCCTGTCCGCTACAACAATAGCAGCCACCTCAATGAGAGGCCCAACCCTGCAACGAGGGAGTAGCCCCCACTTGCCATAACCAGAGAAATCATGTGCAGCAACGAAGACCCATCACAGCCAAAAGTGAATAAATAAATATTACAAGAAATAATGGTGATCAAAGTGTCAATACATTAAAGATGCATGGTAAACTTTTATGAGCCAAATAACATCTCATTAAAAACACAAAGACAAAAGCTATTACAAACAAAAGAAGAAATTCACAAACCCATCATATTAGTGGGGATTTAAAACATATGGTCTTGGTATTTGACAGAGTGAGGAAACTTTTAGAGCTATAGAGAAATTGAATACCGTGAATATGACAGTAAAGGGGGTAAGTGAAGGCTCCTGAGATTTCATTTGAATAAGGAAGAATCACCTTTTAAGGTTGCGTTGCTCCCTTTAGCGTTTGTTGGGTGAGAAAGGAACACCAATACTTCACCCTCAGCCTAGCCCAAGACTTTGTTCTGGGATTAAGTCATACTTTCACCTTAGTGCCTTTACTCCAGTTTTCCCTTAGTTTGGAAAAACCTGACCTCTGCCTGACCCGTATTTACCTGACTCATCCTCACTGCATTTTCTTGAAAGTTCAAAAGCCACCTCCTCAAAGAGGCCTTCTACTTCTCTTCATGATAGGATTCTCCCTGTGGCTCTAGGCTATCACTATCTCTTATCGTGCTTTCTTTGTTTATTTTCTGCACATATCACAGATAACTATTTGACATTATATTATTATATAAACATTTGGTTGGTTCACTTTTATATCCACAGTACTAGAACTCTGTTTAGCATACAATAGCACTGGCTCAATGATATAATTTGTAAATGAATGAAGTTACAAGTGTAAAAAAATTTACACTTCTTCAAGTTCTTTGTGTTTCTGTAAATCAATGGTTCTTGACTAAATGTGATTCTGCACCCTCCCCGCTTCTCAGAACATTTGGTAACTTCTAGGGAAATTTTTGGTTGTCATAAGTTGGTAAGGGTATTGCTGCCTGCCAGCAACTAGTAGGTAAAAACTGGGAATGCTACGCTCCCCACCACAAAGGAAACTCAGCTTGTTCTTTAATCGCTAAGTCAGCTATAGAGCCATTATTGCCTTTCTTTGGGAAGATACCTTCTTAGGATTTAACAAATTATGAATATGTAATAAGATTAAGAAAGGAATGGCAAACCACTTCCCTTCTCTTGCCTTGAGATTCCCACGAAGAGAATGAAAAGTCAAAAAGATATGACACTGAAAGATGAACTCCCCAGGTCGGTAGATGCTCAATATGCTCCTGGGAAAAAGTGGAGAAATAACTCCAGAAAGAATGAAGAGACAGAGCCAAAGCAAAAAACAATGCCCAGCTGTGGCTGTGACGAGATAGAAGTAAAGTCCGATGCTGTAAGGAACAATATTGCACAGGAACCTGGAATGTTAGGTCTATCAATCAAGGTAAATTGAATGTGGTCAAACAGCAGATAGCAAGAGTAAACCTAGGCATTTTAGGGATCAGTGAACTAAAATGGACCAGAATGGGAGAATTTAATTCAGATGACTATTATGCCTACAACTGTAGGCAAGAATCCTTTAGAAGAAATGGAGTAAATATATATGTGTTAGTATGCTATAATGTTCTTTATCTTTCTGGCTTACTTCACTCTGTATAATAGGCTACAGTTTCATCCATCTCATTAGAACTGATTCAAATGAATTCTTTTTAATGGCTGAGTAATATTCCATGGTGTATATGTACCACAGCTTCCTTATCCATTCGTCTGCTGATGGGCATCTAGGTTGCTTCCATGTCCTGGCTAT